CGATGCCCAATTCCAATTTCAATTCCAATTGCCACAGCCGAGGCAACTGCAACTGTTTATGCAGCAGTTGAGTTCCCCGGTTTCGGGGAAATTCTCTTCGTTTCAATTTTTTTTTTTGTGCGCCTCATTCTCATTTTTCCCGAGTTTGTTTACGTTTCGGTTGTTTGCTTTGGTCCGGTTTTTCATGAAAACTGAACTTGCAGTTTTCCAATTAAAAACAAATTATTATCAAAATACCAAATGTTGCCTCTTAACCTCGGTCTCTCCTTCTGTCTCATTCTTTCTGTATTACTCTCTCTCTCTCCCTCTCTAGTTTGGGCAACTCATTGTCACATAATTAACACTTGATATAGCAATTTTCTATACCAATTTTCCCAACAAATGTGCGAAAAACTATCAAATTACCTTTCTCCAAGCTGGCAGGAAATGCGCACTAGTTTCTAATATACTCTACTCTCTCTCTCTCTCTCTCTCTCTCTCTCCCATTCTCTCTCTCTCACTGTGTGTTTCGGAAGTGCGGCTGGACGATAATATCACAAATATCTCCGCCCTCTTACCACCCGATGCTTATCGCAACATTTTCATTTAAGATTTTTGAGGTTTTCCTTTCAGTATTTTCCCAATTTTCTTTTCTTTTTTTTGCAAAATTGGTGCGATTGATTTTTTGTGCGGTTCGCTTTTGTGTTCTTTTTTTATGTTGTGAACACGCGTGGCAGATGCTAAAATATAATTGCAAAAGGACAAAAAAGGAGAAGCAAAAGGTAAGAAACCTGAAGAGCGTAGCAAAAGGCAAAGATAAAGAGATTTAGAAAAAGATATTTTATAAATACAAGATTTTCTTAATTTAATAATTTTATTAATTAAGCTAATGGAGATTTTGCAATAAGTGGGTGAGTACTATAAAAAAAGAGAGTTTATATGCAGTCAAAAAAATAAAAATAAAAAATTAAGGGCTATAATAGAGAGTTGAATATATGGTTGATAAATAAATTGTAATATGGACAGATATATGGCTAGAGAGATAAGAGATATATAGGTGGATAGAAAAGTGATAAGGAGTAGAAAGGATAAATATAAAATATATAAATAGATGGTAAATAGATAGATAATAGATAGATGGTAAATAGATAGGGTCGATAGGTGTATGGATAGAGAGATAGGAGATATAGTAAAAGTAGTAAGAATATATATAAAATATATGTATGGATGGTAAATAGTTGGATTTATAGATAGAGAGAAGGAACGATAGATAGATATGGATGGATAGAGGGAATGTATGAGTGGATGAAAAGCTCGACAAATAGATAGGCGAAAGGTAACAAGATAAATTGATAGATAGATAGATGATAGATGATTTGTGGACTTATAAATTTGAATACAGATTGATAAGTAATTTAATCTCAATTAGAATATGCATTGCATGAAGTAGGGAATTATAGATCTATATGTAGAGATTTCTATAGTTAGGCCGATAAATAGATGTATAAGTCATTTATTCTTTTAATTGAATAAAGTCCTCAAAATGAAAAATCGATTAGAAAGGCCAGAGCACATGTTTAGGCACGTCTAATTGTATACTATATATACATATATACAGTCATACACATATGCATAATTATATATATATATATCTACAGTTATATACACTACATTTGCGATCGGGAAAAAAGCCCAATTACAGAACCAATTAGGGCGCAATTATGGGCCATTAAGCCAAATCCACTTACAATTTAAGCCTGAAAAAGAGAAAAAAAAAAAAAAAAAATGACCCCCAACAACCAAAAAAAGACGCAGCTAATTTAACCAAATTGGATTACTTAATAAGTTTATTGGATAAACGCCTAATCGACTACAAAAGACCAATAACTGACCCACAACAGTCATAAAAAAAAAAAAAAAAAAAAAAAAACTGACTCAGGCAAAACAAAGACCAACAACAGCAGCAACAACAACAACAATGACAACGACAACGAGTCGAGTGTGTTAGCCAGTTAGCCATTGCCTATTGCCCTTTTATTTCGTTCGTTTTCTTCTCTTTTTTTTTGTATACTTTTTCTCAAGCTGTTTGTCGTCTTGGCCAAGCACAAATGTGTGAAAAATAGTTGCGGCCATTACATAAACAGCAGCAGTGGCAGCGGCAGCGGCAGCTGCTGACAGCGATCCTCAGGTGAAGAGGCCAAGGTGCCCAGGCACAAGTGTGAAGGAAAGCAGAAAAGAACAACATTGACGCAGCAAAGGACACACGCAGGCTACACACACACTGAGAGAGAGAGAGAGAGAGAGAGAGTGAGAGAGTGAGAGAGTGAGAGAGAGTGACAGCTACAGGATATATATATAGATATAGATATAGTTGTTGTAGGGGTCTCGCACTGGCATGACTTTCAAGTAAATATTTATTAAAATAAGCAGAAGCAGAAGAAAAACGACAACAGCTGCTGCTGCTGCTGCTACTCCTGTTGCTGCTGCTACTCCTGCTGCTGCTGCTGCAAAGTATGCTCCACATTGTGCCGCTGGCATCGAGCTGCGTCCTGCTCAATGGCCACTCAAATTAAGGATAACAACGTGACAGACAGCAGCGAGCAGCCAGCAGTCAGCTGAAAGTGGAAAGTAGAATGTGGAAAGTGGCAATTTTACAGTTAAAGGATATGCCAAAGCCACAGCTCCTTTGGCTGCCTTTAGATGCGGCCTGCTGCTGCTGCGGCTTGCCACTCGACTCGATTTATTTTGTACACAACTAGCGGCTGCTCCTGCTCCTGCTCCTGCTGCTGCTGCTGCCCATTGTGCCAGCCATAGAAATAGGACAAGACTTTTGCCTTTTTTTTTATTTTGCTTGCTCCGTCTCCTGCTTCTTCTGCTTCTTGCAGCTCAGCTTGGCTCGCAGCGTTGGCAACACAACTACACTGAGCGAAACTGTGTTGTGCAAACACTGAAAATGTGACCCGAGAGCAAATAGCTGTAGCAGCAGGCGCTGCAAGCCAACTGCGGAAAGGTCAACAACAACAACAACATCGAGGGAAGCAGCAAAACAGTTGTAAAGTGTGAAAACTTAACAAATTAAATGTGCCTCGATGTGTGAGTGTGTTTGTGTGTGTGAGGTAGCTGCGGTCAGAGGCAATTCAAATAAATGAGTGTGCAAGTATATAGAAGTGTGCGTGAGTGTGTGTGTGTGTGGGCGTGAGCGAATAAACTAACAAATGATATGGCCCAAAAAAAAAAGGTGAACTTCATAAAATTGAATAGCAAATTAGATAGAAATTGAGAATGACGGCAAAGATAGCCCAAAATTAAAGTTAACAACCCATGCGAGAGTGTGGGAGAGAGGGGGAGAGAGGAAGAGACTAAGTGCTTATAATAGAGATACTAAACACGTAATTGTAGAGGTAGCGAGGGAGAAAGAGAGAGAGAGAGACAGCTATAAGGGAAACGGGCTACGAATCGCGTTGGGAGAACGTCAAGCTTGCCTTAGTCAGAGCTATTCTGGTATTAATTATAATGATTATGAATAATAATAATTCATAACAATATTAACTATAAAATATTATAGCGTTAATGATTTAAATTCAAATTTCTTATATTTATTTTATTTTGTTATGGAGCGAGCATAATTTCATTTCTTGGCTAACAAAATTGGCTATTATTTTCAGGATTCAACATGAGACTACCCTAATGCATTGCATTTGCAATAATGAGGTTACCTTAATAGATTTAAATTTTCAATTCTAAATTTTCAATTCATTTTTATGCATATTTTTACTTGCATCTATAAAATAAATGTATTTGTTATAAACTTTATACKATTCACTATACAAAAGAAATTGACTGCTTAGAGAAGATAATTTTCTTGTAATTGACAAACAAATTTATTATTTTAATATATAATATATTCGCAACTTTTAATTACC